CTAGTTGAATTGGAAAGAGCCAGGTCCAATGAGAGACTCTGTCTCAGAAAGTAAGGTGGAGTGTGATTGAGAAAGACACCCCCATTGGCCTCTGGCCTCCATGCATATGTGCATGTGTGCACACGCCAAGTGATTATTCTATTCGTGGAGTTAGTTTGCCTAATACTGATGAATAAACAGGGATTAACTGCTCGTAAACATTAGGCCCTGATTTAAAGCTATATTTAGAAAATGCTAGCCTTGAATGATTATAAAGTAAAAGTGATCTAGATTCCAAAATAGAGGAGAGTCAAAAGTGAAATATCAGCAACAGATAAGAAATGAAGGAGCATTCTGACATAAAACGAGAAAGACAGGAGCACATTCATCAAATCATAGCTGGTTTACTTTAGGATTCGCTGTTACAAAGAGGCCCTTCCCTCTTGCCCAACAGAGAAAAGAGAAGCCCCTGTCTCAAAAAACCAAAATAAAATAAAATAAAATAAAATAAAATAAAAAATAAAAAAATAGAACAGAAAAGCCCCACTAAACTCCTCGTGACCGACCTGAGAATCTTGTAACTCTGAGAGCATTTTCTCCTTGTACATCTCCTTGTGCCTGTCCAGATAGTAGATGGAATAGCACACTTGGACTTCAGCCTCTGTGAAGACCGCCTGACTGCTGCTGAGCCACCTGCCGCCAGCTAGACTCTGACCCATATGCAGCGCAGCTGAGGACTGTGGGAAGTGAGCAGGAATCCTTCCCAAAATAACTCAGGCAGCATTTTCCTTAGATCCTGGCCTGTGATGACCCACCAGGAGGCATAGGAAGCCGTAGTCAGGCAGCAGGCTCTGGCTCAGGGTGTTGGGAGACCAGGCTACCGACAAGCAGGTGGAAGTGAACTCCCCTGATCTCCAACTCCCCAAGCTGTTCGGTTTGGACCCAGCTCTGGCCTGTAACACAGGACTCTGCACACATTCTATGCTTTTGGCCCAATTATTTCCAAGAAAGTGCTAACCACAGATTCATTAGAATTAGCATCATTTTCTGAGGACAGAACTGTTAAAGATGATGCAGAAAGATTCTGAGGGAAATATCTCAGCTCATAAAATGTTTGTTGCCCAAGCCTGAGGACCCGCCAGGCATGGTGGTAGATAGCTGAGATACCACTGCTGGGGAGGCAAAGACAGGAAGATCTCTGGTGCTCGGTGGCCAGCTAGCATAGCCTAGTTGATGAGGCCCCAGATCCCAGGAAGAGACCTTGTCTTACCACCAAAAAAAGGGAAAGAAAAAAAAAAAAAGATGGCTCCTAAGGAATGACACGTAAGGCTAACCTCCACATGCACACACACACACAGTACATGTGACCACACATACAACCTATGTGGCATGGAAAGAAGCATTCCTATGAACTCCAAAAGGGCGAAAACTTCACTAAGATGTCTCCAGTTCCCAGACCATGCTCATTCCTCATTTCCATTTGCTCCTTCACACATTTGTTTCGCTGATGTGCGCCTGGGGAATGGGGCAACTGGGGGCTGCTCGAAGTGGAAACCTAGTTCCCTTCAGCTCATCTCTGAGCCTCCTCTGAGCCCTCCTGGGAAGAGAGAGGGATACATCTGGGGACACAGGAGGAGGTTGCCATGAGCTGGGATATCAGCCTGGCACAGACTCAGTCTAGTTCCCGGACTACAGGGAAGGAAAGGCTGGGCAGGACGGGCCTTGGTCTCAGCAAGCCCGGAGCGTCTCCTTTCATGTCTGATGCCTCTTGAAGATGGCGTTCTGCAGTGATGGGCCCCTTTTTATGTCCAGGGCAGTCCAGGTCCGGGTGGTGAAAGGTTTTCTCCTATAGCAGGTACCTTCTGGCCGGAAAGGTAGTCCAGGACTCTGAAGCCTGCCTTGCAGCTTTCTTGAGATCAATAACTTCTTTCAAAGATACCAAAGACCAATCTAGAATTGAATAGTTTAGGATGAAAAATGGAACAGTCGAATTCAGGAAAGGCTTAGAAGAGCAGGAGGCTTTCCCTGGCCTGGAGGAAAAGTCAAGTGGATATAGAAGACAGTATTGGTGTGAGACAAGGAGTGTGTGGCAGAGAAGGGTGGTCTGTGTTGTGTGTGACCTTAGGGAGTTCCTGGTTACTCTGACTCTGAAGATTGTAAGCAGAGTGAGATGCAAGATGGGAACGGGTGGGAGGGAGTGGGGAAGGAGGCTTGGAAACCCGCAAGAGCTCCAGTAAAGCCACCTGGCCATGAATATAGAGTGGGCATGGTCCTGGGAGCCACAGGAACTTTCTAGAGCATGAGCCAAGCTGAGCTAAAGTTACTGGAGGTGGCAGTGTGTAGGGACCTTGTCTACAAGGAAACCGGAAACCAGGACCAGCTAAGGAGCCAAAGCGAGAGCTTGGAGAAGCCCTGAAGGGCTAATATTGGTGAGGAAAGAGGAGTGAACCCAAGGGACATGCACTCAGGTTTCCAAGTTATCATGAATTCTAATGTTGCTGGGAGTGGGCCCAAAAGAGGAAAACGTGTGAGACAGGTAGAGTGAACCAAGAGGGTGCTGGGAAGGAAGTAGAATGTCGAAGGTACTATAGGATGTGGGGCTTTGGCATGTGTGAGCTTAGTTCATCTAGGGAACTAAACAGCCTAGAAGGACAGCAGCCACCCCGCCCCCATCAGCTTCAACTCCCTGGGGGTAGGGTGAAGCTTCCAGGGAAAGCAGCATGGGACGCTGTGGCCAAGCACCAAAAGCCCTTTTGAAGAAGTCTGTTTGCCTGTGTTTCAGGATTGCGGGTGACACGGCCCTCAGCAAAAACATTCATGAATCCGTCAGCGCCCAGATCCGGAAGAATTTTGCAAAGAGCAAATGGAGAGTAAGTCCTAAGTGTGTCTGTTTCCACGCTTGCCAAATTCTCAGGGGATTTAAACCATTCTGGAGAAAGCGATTCTCCAATTTGAGTATGTTGTGTTTCTAAGTGACCCATGAGAGTTTGGACAGAAATCCCTAGAACCTTACTCAATAAATTTTGCTAATTTTAGTTTATTCTTCTAAAAATGTATTATTTTATTTTATGTGTGTGGGTGTTTGCCTGCATGTATGTTTGTGCACACACAGTTGTGAGCCTCCATGTGGACGCTGGGAATGGAACCGGGGTCCTCTGACAGAGTAGCCAGTGCTCCTAACCACTGAGCCAGCTTCTCAGCACCATAAATTTAAGTGATTCTTGATTATGGAATATCACAGTGTAGGAAGGATTAAGTGTTTCTCATCTGTGGCTTAAAGAGAGCAACTGTACCAGAACTCACTTGTTTGTTATTCCTCAAGCAGAACAACCCTCCCTGTCTCCCTTCACTTTGCCAGACTTTGAATAGTCACCTTTTATTAAAGTGACCAAAAGGAGAAAGGGGGAACATAAAAACCTAATTGAGTGCATCAATTAGTTAAAAAAAAAATTGCTGAATTTAAACCATGGCAATTTCATGATCATTTATTGATTGCCTGAACTCTGTATTCTAATAGGCATCAGTAATTAAAAGCTGGCTCTCTTGCTGTGAGAGCCAACAGAAACAAAATTAGCTCTACTGAGCCAAGCACAGTAGTGCTTGCCCTTACCCTCAGCACTCAGGACGGAGGGAAAGGCCAGTCTCTGTGACTGTGACCAGCCTGGCCTACATAGTAAGTTCCAGGCCAGCTAGGACTGCACAGTGAGACACTGGTTCAAAAAGAAAAAAGAAGAAAATTAAAGATTCCATTAACCAACTTTTTTATTGGAAGTAATGCCATGACTTAGGACAACAGTATCAATGATAGAACCAACCCTAGTGGTGCAGGCCTGTAATTCCAGGTACTCAGGAGGCTGAGGCAGGAGGATTACAAATTCAAGGCCAGCTTGGACAGCTTAATAAAAGCCTCACAAAAGTAAAAAAGTAAAAAGAGAGTTGGTAGAGTATTTGCCTAGCATATGAACAGCTCTAGGCTCAGTCCCTACTACTGCCAAAAAAAGAAAAAAAAAAAAGGTACCAATTATAGAAAAATAAACACTACCTTAAAATATCATGTATTAAGACATAGTATTACATGTGTTTTTGATTCTAAGAGTTACTTTTTATAAATTATGTAGAGTATTGTTTGGAAATTATTCATGCCAGAAGCAAGTGAATTTTTAACCTCCCAATATGTGTTTTGATGGGGAAGAGAGCTAAATAAATGTGTGCACTTTTGAAAAGAATGATAGAAACTTTCTTTCTAAAGTGTCCTGAGAGTAGCAGAGAAAATTTGTAGCGCTCGCAGTTTCTGGATAAGCGAAAGGAAGCAGTCTCGGAGTGTTTTCCAACTACCGGAAATAATTGGTTCTCCCCCTCGCCACCTTTTTGTCCTTTTCCCTACATTTCAGCAAGCGTTCAATGCCACAGCCGTCGTGAGACACATGAGAAGGCTACAGCTCGGCAGCAGCCTGGACAGTTCAAATGCAAGTGTCTCAAGCAACCTCAGTTTGGCGAGCCAAAAAGATTGTGCGTATGTAGCAAAACCAGAATTCTTCAGCGGGCGTTTCAGATGAGTCCGGGTTGGGCAGGATTGCTGAGCACGGACGGTCTGCCCTGCAATGTCCTAACCCTTTTAATGTTCGTGACTACCGTAGAACATTTTCAACATTTAATACCCGCTCTATGTGATAATCATTTCCATTTGTAGATAAGAAATCCATGGCATAAGTGCCACGCGACCAAAGAGAAGGCCCGGGCACTTCTTGGTCTCTCTCCTTCCTCTGACTTGCCTCTTACTGTACAGTTTCCCTCTGGACTGACGAGGGAATGGTAGAGTCCTCATGGCCTGGTTGCACTAGTTTCTAAAGTCTGGGTTTTGTTGTTTTTGTTGTTGTTTTTATGAGAATGATGAGTATTTGAACTTATTTATATGCTCCAACCTGGCCTTGCGATAAAAGCAACAGTGATGGTATTGCATTGGCCTTCATCTTTGTAAAGAACGTTATATCCTTGAAGGCACACTCCAATTCTCTCCCACTCCCCATCCTTATATGTGTATTAACCTCCTACTAGAGCATGCCGATGGTTCTCTACTCCAAAACCATTGCCTTGAAGGTTCCCATCAGCCCTCATCCCCTTAACCATTGGGCATCATGTGCCTTCCTACTTGGCTTAGAAAAAGGATTCCTTTCTTTGTGAAAGAGCCATCTCATGGCTGAATATAGAGCACACACCTATAATCCCAGCACTCTGAAGGTGAAAGATTCCAAGTTCAAGGCGAGCCTGAGCTACACAGTAAAACCATCTCAAAAAAGCAGAAGCTTAGGGTGTTGCTCGGTGGTAGAGCATTTGCCTAGTAGGAAACAAAGTTAAGACGACCCTGGGTCTGACCCCCCAGCATCCTCCCCTTCCCCAAAGGAGTCATCCTAATCTTGTTATTCATTCTCAACTCATACACAGTTCTTCAATGTTCTTATGGCCACTCCATGGGCTTTTCTGACACAATTGCACACCTCTAGATCAGTTATACTTGTCAGCACAGACCCTTCTTACCACCCTTAACCAGAAGCAATATCACAGCCGACCACTCATTTCTTTAAAGATTCGTACAACGGCATCAGCAGCAGTGCTTATTTTAATACTTTATTTTATGGTTCTCCCTATGTCCAAATGTACGAAGTGGCTACGGATGTCCAGTCCAAAGCTGTACCATAGGGCTGTATCAACAGTGCCTTCCAAGGCCTTGTGAGTCAGTTTTCTGTTACTGTGACAGCATATACGAGAAACATGTTACAGGAGGCAAGTGTTACTTCGCCTCACAATCTCAGTCCTTTCTGTCCATGGTTACTCATGGCAGCCAGGAACAAGGGAGACAGAGGACAGAGGGCTGGGAGAATGATATGTCCTTCAATGACCTACTTCCTCCAGCTAGGTCCCACATCCCAATAGTCAATCCAACTTTGAATTTATCAATGGATGAATCCCCTGATGAATATAGGACGTTCATGGTCTACTCACCACACAACACTACTACAGGGCCAAACTCTATTGTAAGCCTTTGGGAAGATTTGGTGGGAGTCATGAACATCCTCATTTCAGAGACCCGTGATTCAATATGCTTCCTGAAATGTAAATTTGGACCTGAAGCGGGGTGCAGGTCCTTTTTTCATTCTAAAAATGCCTACTTTCTGCTGTTGTAAGACGCGATCTGCTCTTCTGGGCTGGTAAAGTGCTTTGTCATGCACTGAGCCCTCAGAACCACAAAAACAGCCAGGTGTGGGGTGGCATGTGCTCCTCATCCCAGCGTAGGGGAGTGGAGACAAGACTCTCTGTGGGCCAGCCTGCCTAACCAGCTCAGCAAAATGTCCCCCAAACAGACAAAACAAACAGGAAAGCAAGACGAAGAGTGGCTAAACATGTCTATCCGAGGTTGACCTCTGGCCACCACACACATGTGCACGTGTGTTATCCGCGCACACACACACACACACACACACACAAACATGACACATGGAGACACAAATTAAAATAATGAAAAAAATTAAAGAAAGGAACATTCTAGTAATGATGGTATATAATCCACACCCATCCCAGTGCCTGGTATATAGAAAGTAGTAGATTTTCCTAGTGTGTAACATACAGTATATAGAAAGTGCTAAATAAATGGGGCCTCAGATATCCTATGTCATGATGGACATACCATATCATTTTCAAAGACAAAAAACAATTATAATTATAAAGAAAAAAGGACCTCAAAGTTGGACCAGAGAATAAAGCAATTTGAAGACATGGCAGAGATTTTTCTATAGGGCGATGAAAGGGCAGAGTCTGGCAGTGTAGCTCAGGGTAAAGGGTAGAGGGCTTGCCCAGCAGCTACATACAAGCTTCACCCACCTAGCCCAGCACATTTGACTGTCTTTCTGGGAAAAGGCGTGTGAAGTTAATTCTAAACACCCGTGTCTATTGTCCCTGACAGGTCTGGCACCTTCCACGCTCTGTAGTTTCCTTTCTTCTTCGTCGGGGGTCACAGGAGTCGGAGCTGAGAGGAGACCCAGGCCCACCACTGTGACGACAGGGCACACTGGAAGCAAGTGACCCGGCTCTGGAGGTGGGACCCAGGGGGCGGAGCCGGGGAAGGGGAAGCCCCAGGCCGGAGCAGCTCCAGCATCGGAGACCCCACCCACCCTGCATGGTGCGCCTGCATAGGACTGGAAGACAGAAGTTTTTTATGGCCATATTTTATACTGCAATTCTGATGTGTTCATTTCTCACAAACTGTACTGACTCAAGGGGAGCTGACTTCACAGGATCTGGTGCTGTATATACGAATCTTGCAAAGCTCTAACTGAACGGACCTTCTTGCTCCCTTCCCCCAACTCCACCACTTCCGCTCTCTCAGTGTAGGAAGCCATCTAGGGTGTATTTTTTCATGAAAAAAAAAAAGGTTTCAACTGGATTATTTAAATATTGGTAAATGTTGTGCATTAGAATTCTTTTTTTTTTTCTTTTTGAGATGTGTCTTTTTTGATCTCTTGTCAGTTACATGACCTCTCTCATTCACTCCTTTGATGGTGGCTTTACGTTACCTTTAAGAGAATTTTTTTTAATCCAGGAGGAGTTAAAAGGTATTTTTTAAAATTCTAAGAGGATCAAGAATCCGTCTCCAAGGCGGAGTGCACTTTACCTGTGTTCCCTGGCCCTTGGGAGGCCACCCCACCCTGGGCTGGGCAGGCTTCTCGCCAGGGGGCTTTTGGCAAGGAACCTGCAGAAAACCTTACCAGCAGCTTCCCTGAGAGCCCCTAACCAACCACAGAAGAGAGAACCTTGTTTCCGCCCTAAACTCCAGGTTCCACATTACAGGTGAACTGCGCTCTAGGAACAGGATTCCCGTAGGGCAGAGGCGCCCCCCTTAGAGGTGGGACAGGCCGCCATCTTGTTTTTTAAAATGAACCACACACAGCCCTCATCTCTCATGGGGGATGATGGATGAAACTCTGTTTCTCAGCTATGCACTTTCAAAACGACTCTCTCTCTCTCTGTTTGTTTTAATTTTTTATTTTCATTTCTAATGCTACCCTTCAAATGGCCTATAGCACAGACTTCCCCCCCCCTCCACAATTTTACCCTAGTCTCTCATAAACATTAGCCAAGGGAGGGGACAGAAAAGGCTCTGAAGAAGAAACCTTTTTGTTAGGTGAGAAGGAAAGGCACCAGGTGAGCAGGATATGGCCCACCGCAGAGATGGCTGACTCAGCAAGGTCCAGCTAGTACGTAAGCCTTCCCTTACATCAGAGGAATCTAAAATGAAAAGCAGCTGGGGGTAGTCAGGGCATTGTATGCCCTGGTTTGCCAGGGACTGAAGAATTTCCCCGGATATGGAACTTGAAGGCTAAAATCAGGACTGTCCTATGAAAACCAGTCCATGTCATTGACCTGCACAGTGGTTAGATATAGGAGAAGAGCAGGCACAGAGCATAGGCCAGGGCAGACGTTCTCCAAGGAGGCTCTCAGACCTAGGCAGGTAGCTCAAATGTCAGTTTTGCCCATGTTCCCCTTCAGCCCTCATGTCTGTTTAAAGCCTGAGCCTCAGTGGCAGTCAGCTGTAGCCAACCAAGATGGGCTGTGATAGGTGTCCCTGATGGCCCAGGCACAGTCCTGAGGTGGTTGTCCTCATACCCCTCTCAGTCCTGCTAGACCAGTAAGTCATCCTTGTCACTTGTACACTTTCACCTCTAGCCCTCCCCAGTGCACATGGCACACACACACACACACACACACACACACACACACACACACACACACACTATCACTAGGGAAGCAGCTCCAGTCCCCCAAAGAACCCAGTGCAAGATACCTAAGAGCAGTTCCAAAGTCAGACATCTGGTCTACCTGTTCCCACTTGCATCATAAGCTCCCAGTT